ATCCCACACAATGACGGGTGCGATCCTGAGAGGATGAATAGATAAAACCCTCACCACCCCACTTCACGCAGGTGACACAAGCCTGATGCCCGGAGAGAGAAAATTGAACCCCGGTCACATTATGCCAAACCTTTAGGGTTGTGTCTTTACTAGCCGAAACAAACCGATTGCAATCAATGTTTCTATGCAACGGCTCCCATGAAATGTGCGATAAATAACTTGAATGGGCCTTGTGTCGCTTCCCCTTAAAGTTACCGTACATGCCATCATGCGACCAAATAATAATAGTGCCATCCTTGCTTCCGCTTACGAGATGCTTCCCATCCGGGGCCCACGACAACACCTGCACCCAACTGGTGTGCGCCTTAAGTTCCTCCGTGGGGGTTAGTGTATAGACATCCCAGATGCGTATCTCCTTATCGCCTCCTCCACTTGCTAGTGCCTCGCCGTCCGGTGAAAAAGTAACCACAAGCACAGCCTCGCTGTGCCCTTCAAGTGCTCCAGTGCAACGTGTCACTGGTCTCACCATAAATTTTGCCTGCGGCTTAAATTGGATATCCACAACAGTCTCCTCCGGAAGCTCAAACTCCAGTTTACTCACGTCTTGTTGCCTGAAGCGCCTTCCTTCCTTCATCATTTTATCAACAAAGGCCTCCTGCTGCCTCCTAAAAAGCGAGTCGCGCACACTGTCATGCACCTGATCCCCGTCGATAAAAAAAGCGTACGGAGTTCCGCGCGCACTCTCATCCAGCATAGAGCATAAAAGCTCGTCCAGTTGCTTCGGTGTCGCTGTTACGGGCAGAAGAAGCTGCGCCCCTGTCAAGACGCCTTTTTCATCCACAAGGCGGACCATGACATTCTTATCTTTCTCTTCAATCTCATCAACCGCCCCTGCCTCTGTGAAAACAGTGTCCCGACGCTGCCTCTTCCGCACCGGCATTTGACCCTTCCAACAAAAACGGCAATAATAACGCCAAAAAAAAAAAAAAAAAAAAAAAAAAAAAGGAAATCCATAAGAAAGCAGCATCAAATTCAACCCATTTTTTAAGCTGTATTTTTCTTTCCGTCACTTCTACAGCAGCAATCACAACTAGTAAAGAAAAAATAATAATACAAACAAACAGTGCGCACATATACACAGCGGGAAAAGAGAGAGAGAGAGGGAGAGACTACAAACAAATCGATGTCCATTCCCCCCATGTTGCCCAAGGCACAGAAAACGGAGAAACAAACAAATAACAACAGCAAAAGCAAATAAATAACAGGACTCAACTACCGTATCAAATCAACAAGAGTTCTCCAGAAGCCTTGATGCAATTGCCGTTCTTCTTTAAAAAACAAAAGCGTGGTTTTATCCTTCCGCAGAAGACAAAACTGAAAAAGAAGCAAGCATGAGCTTACCACAGTAACGCATATCACCAATAACAATCCTAATAATATAAAAACACCACCCACCGCGTATGCCCAAGCACCGCGCATGAGAAGCAAAAAAAACATATTCAGAGCACAGACGGCTAGTAAGCATAAGAATAACCCCCTGTTTTTTGATCCAACGCAGTTGCCAATAATGAGGCAGTGATGATCCATGCCTTCCACGTACGCCCTACACCTTCGGCAAAATGAACTATTGGAGGTCTTTTTCCCCACCTGAGGAACACTCGTCACAGAATAGAAGTAAAGAATTAGGTGGAGGGACCATAGGACAAGGAAGCAGATATCATCCAGCGAGCAATCCCAAAGCAAACCAGATGGGAAGCTCCCTTTTCTCCATAATAACCAAACAAAGTAGTGCCAAAGATAAACAGGAGGGTTGCAAAATTCCACGTAGTCCTTCCGAGCCTGAAACATATAGGTGTGGTATTGCCAAACAAACAATCCAAAAACAAAGACAATGAGCATTCTTTCAAGACGCCAATGGTATCCCTTTCCACTGCCACTGCCAGCGTATTGATTGCGAGCAAAAACCTCGTTTAGGAAGCAATCTCCAAAAATGAAATTTAAGCCCATAAAAAGGGCAGGGAATGTCACGGCCATGTAAACGGCAGTCCATGAAAACAGCCCTTCTTGAAGCACCTCCATTTCAAAAATCTTACCCATTCATAGACACAAAAGAAGAAGAAAGCATTCCATTTAGCAGCCCATGTCCTCTTGTTTTTTTTTTTTTTTAAATATTTAAATAACATTTATAGAGTATTAACAACAACAAATAAATAATTATTATTATCCCCGAAGTCGTTTCCTATGCTCTGGCTCCTTTACCGCACGTATGGCATCCCCCTCTCCGTGGACCAATTCCTCTGCGGAATTGCTGCATTTCTCTGTCACTCTGCAAGGGAAGGATCTTTTCGAGGGTTTTAGAAATCCTTTAAGTGCGAGGGTTTCCTTGGAAAAAAGAGTAGTTCCCAGATCTTTTTTGTGTTCCCAGGGCTGCGCCATTTCCTTAAAAAATCCGCGCGCAACGGCGATCGCCGCATCCACACTAAGATTTGTGTTCTCCTTTAGACATTGCTGAATCCATATGGGTAGCTTTTTCCGTTTGTCGTTCAATGCAAAACGTCTATCAACGAGCAACATCATTCCATAGTCCGTTTTGTTTCGTAACACCCGGCCAATACATTGCGACGCCTGCCTCATGGCATCAAAGTTCCGATACTCATTTCCAGGAATACCAAGACATGTTTCCATCCAACAAATTCGTTGTCTCAAAGGTTCATCGTTTGGTGGCAAAAAAGGAACCCCAAACATGACGACGGCTCTTCCATAGTGACGATCAAAATCAATTCCTTCGGCAATTTTACCTCGAGCAATAGCCATGAAAATAGCCCCACGTCCAATGTCACATGCTCGCCTATAGTTTGCCAATGCAATGGATGTCTCCTCCACCGATTGGGTTTCAATAAAGATAAGTTTATACTGCGCCAACTCCTTCAAAAATCCAGACCGGTGCCATCCAAGAAGCACCTCCCCCATATACTGATACCCTGTAAAGAAGCAGACAATACCATCGGGCACGGTTTTGCCTAGACCCCGTAAGAGATCTTCATAGGCAGAGGATACGATATCTTGGGCAAGAGGATTAGTACGAACAACAAAACTACTGGTGATTTCTTCCATCGTAATGTTGACACTCTCCGTACTACGCGTCACTACCACCGGGGCTATACACTTTCGACTTAAGGTCATTTGAAAGGATTTAGCAATTACAGGGGTAAAGCCAAGAATCTTCGGGTAAATGTCTAACGGAGAAAGTGTCCCCGAAGTCAACACCACGCTTCGATACTTTGAAAAAGCCTCACGTAGGGCCAACGAGGCATCTACGCAAACAAGACGAATCACTGGATCTGGCACAGCAGGTCTCGTCGGATCGTGAGCCTCACAAACAACCACAAATCCCGGTTTTTCATACCGATCGTCTGTATAATGAGTGGAGAGAGTCATGTACATTTGTGCAATCAAGGAAACGTTACGGAATTTGTGTGAATTTGTAATCTGAAGCGTATTCATTAACACTTTCAGACGCTCCGTCAGGTACCTGAAATGACGAATATCCACAGCACATTCATCGCGTACTTTCGATAG